CCCACACCCACACCCACACCCACACCCACACCCACACCCACACCCCACACCCACACCCACACCCACACCCACACCCACACCCACACCCACACCCTCAATTGTAATTGAGATACTTTTATAAACTGTCTTATTACGTCTAGATTTTCCTTAAATAAATATGAAATTTTGTTTTTCTATCATTTCGAAATCCTATTCACTTTGTTCATAGAAAACTTCCAAATGACATATGTCCTTCGTTATTTTCTTCGCAGCTTAATCAATGTATTTCAATTTCGTGACAACTAATCAAACTTCATAATGTAATAAATAGACTAAATGAAGGTAAATGCAGGGTGGGCGTGGGTGTGAGTGTCGGTGTGTGATGTGGGTGTGAGTGTCGATGTGGGGTGTGGGTGGCGTGTGGGTGTGGGTCTCAGTGTGGGTGTTGGTTTGCCGATAGACTCACTCTCCAGCGACAATTACATCCACACCCACACCCTGAATATTTTCTTGCCCAAGAAAAAAAATCAATTTTTAGGGGTATAAAAGTGAATGATTTCCAACGACGAAATCATTTAAATATTTGAACCAAATAATAATTGTTTTTTTTTCTATTTTAGAATGGCTTCGACGATACAAGATTAAACAACTCAATACCAAACGAGACAATAAAATAAAATGTAGGTATAAGCTTTAATTTTTTTTCTTTTTCTTTTTTTCTTTTGGATCATCTGAACGGTAGTAAGGCCTCTTTTGATCTATTTTATGTTTTGTTTTTTTTTATTTTAGTTATTAAACAATGGAAGTAAGTAAAAACTTTTTTAATTTTTTTTCTTTTCTTTTAGGTCGAGTTGAATAAATTCAAGTAAGTAGAAATTTTTTTTTTAATGTATTTTTTTTTAATTTCAGGTAATGGAAAGTCAATGGGATGGATAACAGTAGGGTGAGTTATTCTCTTCTTTTCTAAACATATATGATTAAATAAAATTTTTTTGTTTTCTTTTTAGTCTATCATCGCATCGCATCATCAACAACAACATCATCGTCCAACATCAAAACAGAGTGAGTAATTATTTCTTTTTTTTTTGAGATGAGAATAGGATGAGAGGGGATAAGAATAGATAGTGATATTGAGATTGAGGAGGGTTAGAGTGAGACTTAGAAAAGTGAGTGTTAGTGGGGGAAAGGGGTGAGTTATGTCCATTGAGGTTAGATCTCTGTTATCTATCAGGTCTTCCGGACTTAGACCTAAAACACCGGCCAGGAACTGTCTTGGTGTCCGTAGCACACGATCGGGCCCCCAGACTTATTGACATATCCCTCGAGTGGGAGGGATATGAATGATATGAGTCTCCCGTGTGTGCATGAGCGTTACGCTCGCCGCGGCTCCACCAGGATGGTTCCTGGTCGCGCGCATAGAATAAACCATTCTTTTCATCAATTCAAAGTAATTTATTTGAGAGAAAGGAAAGAAAAAAAAAGAATCCATCGTAATGAATCTATTTGATTGAAAATCTTTGAACACGATGATTCCACTGATCGACGACATAGAGATTTCCATGACGATCGAAGGACAAACCGGTGGGACCGTTCAACTGATCTGCTCTTTGTTCTTTATGTTCATCTTCTTCATCTTCATCCTCATCCTCGTCATCTTCATCTTCTTCATCCTCGTCATATTCATCTTCTTCATCTTCATCCTCGTCATATTCATCTTCTTCATCTTCATCCTCTTCATCCTCTTCATCTTCATCCTCATCATCTTCATCTTCATCCTGTTTATCATTTCCACCCACAATAACAATGCCCTCTTTCTCTCGTTTAGGCCAACGCATCACTCGATTATTCCACGAGTCTGCCACATAGATGGTACCCAATGTATCGACGAACAGTCCTTCAGGATACCACAATTGTTTCGGAGCATTGCCTTTGCCGTGACCCCCAGCGACGACAATTCCTTCTTTTGCACCTTTATTCCATTTCATTACACGATGATTGTTGTTGTCTGACACGTAGACAGTCTGTTGTTGATCGACAAAGATGCAGGTCGGCCAGTTGAGTTGATTGAGACCATTACCTTGGCCATTACCACCAGCCACGATAGTTCCATCCTTGTCTCCTATTTGATATCGTCTTACTTCATGTTTTTCGATGTCAGAGATGTAAAGATATCTCTGATCATCCATGGCCAATCCCCAACAACGGATGTTGTCGATGAGGGTTTCTCCGTGAGTTGTACCACTTCGACGAGACCATCGTACGACTCGTCGATTCCCTTGGTCACAAATAATGAGATTATCAGTCTCTTTGTCGATCAACACATCTGTTGGTTGATCCAATTGATTCGATCGATCTCCTTCGACATTGCTACCAGCTACCCGTTGCCAATTCGTCTTATCCATCTTCCATTGGATGATACGATGATTGTAGAAGTCAGCGATGACTACCGTTTCATCATCATGAACGAAGATACCTGCAGGATAGTTGAGTCGATTCATGGCATCGCCATATCCATGGCGTCCAGCAACGGTCTCTCCATTCTGTGCCCATCGAGCAGTGGCTGAAATATTGGGAATTACTACAATGAACAAAAAAGACAAGAGATCGTCATTGTCGAAGAGATCCTCCTCTCTCAAATGGGAGAAAGAGCTATGAAGGAGATATTCGTCTTCTTCGAAGGAAGTTTGGTAAAACTTTCGAGAATGTTCTTTCCGCACATAAAAATTCAGAAGCCTTTTTCTAGTTTCCTGAAAAGAAAAAAGGATTTCGTAACGATTTTACATCTATGTCATTTTTAGTTTTTGCCAAGATCTTTTTGACCCGAAAAACTACACCTGAAGATTGCTTTAAGGAGGTCCTCGAAGAAAGAGTAATGCTAATTCCATGTAAGTTTTTGATAGAAAAACATAGAGATCTGAGAATTTTTATTCGAAATTGGAGAATTCAGAATTGTTTTTGCAGAATGATCATTTATATGAACATCAAAGACGGTTCTATCTGTATCTTAGGAAACCTTAAGGATATATGATTTTCTGCATGAGACTTTTGGCAAGTTATGTCAAGTTGTTCAAAGGACGACTCTGATAGGGTCTTAGCAAGATCATCAGAAGGCTTGTATACTACAGGCGAAACTGAGCAAAGTTGAGAGGGTTTCACGCGGGTCTATGTACTCTGATGCCTTCTATTTTTGAAATGCTGAAAAGATGGATGCAAATCTTAACGGAGCTCTCCAGTGACACACATTGGGATCTATGGATTTTATAGGCTTTGGAAAGGGCGGTGGTAATCGGACAGCCAGAAAGTGTTCTAAAATGCTATTATTAACTTTTGATGAAAACCATCTTCAAACCATTGTATTAGAATGCTAGAAGAGAATCTTAGTGACTAAATAAGGGTCAAGAAAAGTGAGCTCCAAACTGCGTAAACTCCTAATTTGGAGCTCACTTTTCTTCTTAGTCCCTCTGCTATGATTCGTAGCACCACCTAGAATGCTAGTAGCATGTTCTGGGACGCTAATGGCATCGCTTGAGATGCTAGAGCTGTCACCTGCGATGGTAGAGACATTGCCTAAGATGGTAATACCATTATCTGGGATGCTAGAGCCATCACCTGCCATGCTAGAGCCATCACCTGTCATGCTAGAGCCATCACCTGGCATGCTAGAGCTATCACCTGGCATGCTAGAGCAGTGCGTGGGATGCTAGAGGCATTGCTTGGGATTCTAGAAAGACTGCCTGAGATGCCAGCAGATTACCTGGAATGCTACTATCATGCCGGGTGATGACTCTAGCATCCAAGGGAAAGTCATTAGCATGTCAGGCAATGCCTCTAGCATCCCAGATAATTATATTAGCATCACAGGCAATGCTAGTGAGATCCCGGAAAAGGCCTTTAGCATCCAATGTAATGTTACTAGTGTTCTAGGTGGTGCTATAAATCATAAGAGAAGCATTGAGAAGAAAAGTGAGTTGCAAATTTGGAATTTACGCGTGGAGCTCACTTTTCTTGATCCTAAAGAAGATCCTCTGCCAAATATGTGAAAGTCTAAAAATAATGAGTATCTTCTATCAGGGCCATGCTATAATGCTTATGTAGTGTTTGTTGTGAGAAGCCTTCTTTGAGCTTGCATGTGATGGATATGTTCAGGAGCATCTGAAGAGTAAGTATTTTGGAATGGTTGATATCAGAGATGGGCAATTCCAACTCCGAAGTTGATGCTGTTTCTCATCAGAGTGAGAGTGGAGTTATATGGAGGAGGAACGGAGCAGAATGGAGCTGCCTATCTCTGGATTTTATGAGAAAGTTCATAAAGCAATAAATTAATGTTCTACTAACTGATATCAATCGTAGATTTAATTATGTTAAAAAACTTATGTGTATGTAAGAATGTTTTGGCAGAAGTTCAGTTTTCTAAAAGGAAGTGACTATGTACACTCAGCTAGGAATTAGTAATTAATTCATAAATTTTCACTTATATTTTAGTCTTACATGTACTTTGTGATCAAAATCAGTAAAATATTTTATATTATTAGTAATTTTTCTTTATTACTTTTTCTTATTTCGCACAAACAAATTAGAAATCAGGTAGCACAATCAAGCAAGTACAAAAAAGTTAAGTCCAATTTGGGATGCACCAACTTTAGTCTCGCCTGGATATCCGTTCGCCTGGAATACCAGTCCCACTGGGCGCCGATTTGATTGGCTTTTCATATTGAAATTCCTTTTATTTAAGTATATAACTTTGAGGTTTCAAGAAAGTGACCAATGGGTTTTCGAGGGCGGGAAGCTCGAATTTGAACTCTATTTTCCTCGAAATCATATTGCTGGGCCAAAAACCAATAAGAATCGAGTTTCTCAAAAACTTGTTTCAGATAAGTGTTTCGGGACGGGAAGTTCAACTTGAGTTCCATTTCCCTGAAAGCTCTATAGATGGGCCAACAATCAAAAGAAATTTAGTTTTTGAAAAAATTCTTTTTGATAGATATTTCGAAAAAGATTTTGAAAGTTCCATTTCGATTGGTTCCTGGCACGCCATAGGATTTTGATGAGAATGATGGTATTACCAATACCGAGGCGAACGGAGTGAAAATGCGTTCGAAACACGTGAGCAAAGGCGTAAAATGTTCGGATCTAACCAAACCCACTGTACACCAGCAGGCGAACTTGTTCAGAGGCCCTTGTTCGAACCGTTTGTTGCCGTGCGCCAAGGAGAGCGAACACACGTTCAGAACGGCAATAAATGCTTCGAAGAAGAAGCTCTAGACGAGCTTTCGATCCGTTCACCTTGATCTGAGCAGACTCAAACTCCACGTCTCGAAATACCTATCGGGAACAATTTTTTCGAAAACTAAATCTCTATTGATTGTTCGTCCATCTATAGAGCTTTCATGGAAATGGAGCTCAAGTTGAACTTTCCGTCCCGAAATACTTATCTAGAACAAGTTTTTGAGAAACTCGATTTTATTGGTTCTTGGCCCACTTAGTAGCGGCGCCAGTATTTTTTGTTTGGGGAGGCTGAGCCTCTTCAAAATTCTCCAAACATAAGAGATCATCAGTTTTATGCAGTAATTTTTAAAAAATTCTGGGGAGGCTGAAACAAATTCTAGGGGGACTCAGCTCCCCTGTAGCCTCTTCTTGGCGCCGCCACTACCACCAATTTGATTTCAAGGAAAATAGAGTTCAAATTCGAGCTTCTCGCACTCGAAAACCTATTGGTCACTGTCTTGGAATCTCAAAGTTGTATACTTAAATAAAAATGAATGTCAATATGAAAAGAGGTGTGGGTGTGGGCGTGGGTGTGGGTGTGGGCGTGGGTGTGGGCGTGGGTGTGGGTGTGGGCGTGGGTGTGGGCGTGGGTGTGGGCGTGGGTGTGGGCGTGGGTGTGGGCGTGGGTGTGGGCGTGGGTGTGGGCGTGGGTGTGGGCGTGGGTGTGGGTGTGGGTGTCTGGGTGGGGTGTGAGTGAGGTGTGGGTGTGAGTTTGGGTTGGGTGTGGGTAGGGTGTGGGTTTGGGCTAGTGTTGACAAGAAAATGACATCCACATCCTCATAGTATAGAAATTTAAAAATAGAGATATATAAGAACTGGTTGTAGGTTCAGAGAAGTGGAACCGCTATGGCAAAATTCTCGGCTGTATACTGTAGTCTCTATGGAGTGATTCAACCATGTTTGCAAGAATATTCACGATGCGCTGCATGGCAGAGCCTCGGCTTTTTACATTGTTTACTTTTCAAGGGCAACAGAAGCATACTCAAGTTTAATGTCTCGAAAAATTTCAAATAATTGGTGGTCTTATTTTAAAAGTGCTCTCGTATTTCATAATAACAAAGACTAATTTACAAAAGCTCTATCATTCCTTGGCTTTTGACACACTATTTCAAACCAAAGAAAACTCATTAGTTGCGATGAAGTTCCTTCGAAAACTCTTGGGTGCGAAAAGCAGTAAGTGAGAGAAATTTTATGAAAAAAAACCGAAGTGTCAAATAAAATATTATGTCATGTTCGATAAAAAAGTCTTCGAGCTATCTTTCTATGTATTGTCCGTTTCAAAATATAATGTCCACCACCGTTTTTTGAATAACTCGAGAACGTAAGCAGCTAGAGACTTGCGGTTTTGACCAATGTAAAGAGGAGATCGGGGGACGTCTTTTTCTCCACTGATGTGTAAGAGAAAATTCTTTTAAAATGAATGATTTTCGAAAAACATGTAAAAGAAGGCATGAAAATGACCTGTCATCTAGATGAAATTTTGGTTTTGACCTTTGATTTAGATGAAGCGACCTCAAATCTATGGTTCAAGATATAGTGCGTTTCCTTACTTTTCATTACGTTTCCATCGAAATGTCCAGGTATTATGATAAAAAGTGAGAAAATTCAGTAAAAAATGAGCAAAAATTCCTTTTATTTCCGCATGTAAACACCTATTGAATTTGTTCAAAGTTAGAATGTAATAAGAGAACCCATCTGCATTGTGTCTTGAACTATAGATTTGAGGTCGCTCTATCCAAATCAAACGTCAAAACCAAAATTTCATCTAGATGACAGGTCATTTTCATGCCTTCTTTTACATGTTTTTCGAAAATCATTCATTTTAAAAGAATTTTCTCTTACACATCAGTGGAGAAAAAGACGTCCCCCGATCTCCTCTTTACGTTGGTCAAAACTGCAAGTCTCTAGCTGCTTGCGTTCTCGAGTTATTCAAAAAACAGTGGCGGACATTATGTTTTGAAACGGACAATAGTTATCTGGATCCTCATGATTTTCATGAAGATCAACTTTTTTTGAGCAGGAGAGATTTGAATAACATGTAAAGATATAACGATAAACACGATTCTACTATTTTTATGTGTATATTTTTTTAATATTTTTTCCAACATATAGTACTCTCTTAACGAAGGTATCGTTC